CTTCATGTCAGTATGATTTTTGCTTTTCTTTTTTCGTGAAGTGAAAACATAACAATGTTCTGCCAAAAAAGCTCAATACCCAGGCTGGCATTTGCGCTGTTTGCCTTCCTTCATCCCAATAGACAGATCTTAAAGGAATCATTAGAGATCTTAAAGGATCCTCCTTTCTCTGGATCTAAATGAAAGTGTTGTAACCTGCTCTTTAAAATGTTGTGAAGTACCATCGAGTCAGGTCCAACTCATTGAGTCGGGTCCAACTTGGGGTTTCTGAGGAGCGGCTGGTGAGTTGGAAGCTCTGACCTTGCAGTTCAAACCAACCGTGCTGTCCAGTGCATATCCGGTGACACCACACTGTAGACTTGATCATATAAATGGGGCGGGATATTCATATCTACAGGAATCAAATGTAAATAATGACTTCCTTTTAGTCGAGAGTCATGTTGATGTAAAAGCATAAACATTTGAAAATAAACTGACCCTTTGTTGAGTTTCCATTTTGAGACTTAGTTCCCAAATGGAATGTATTTCATCTTGCATTTAATGAATTCCATAAGCAAGGAGGTGGCCATGAATAAAGATTATTTGATTCTGAAGCCCAAATTTGGCTGGTTAAAGAACTCTTGTTCATTTTGGATATGGGATGTGTGATGTACTAGACATTTTTATTCACTTTCTTCTCTTTTCCCTCACTAGGCAAAAGTGAACAATTCTAGCCTGATAGGTTTAGGATACACTCAGACCCTAAAGCCAGGTATGTGTTAAATGTGTTGTGGAGTCAGTTCTGTTTCTTAAAAGTAATTGTGATGTCAGTTTGCTTATATATGCTATTTATAAAATGCATTGTAAATGAGTGTGTGTAATTGAAGTGCCAAGTGGTCTTGCTGCTGCTGAGCACACCTTGAATGAGGTTCTGAATTTGGTGAGGTTTACTCAGTATACTTCAGCATCCGTCATATGTTAACCTTTCTTTTCTCTCCTCCATCCCTCCCCCTTTCCTTTGCTTGCATTTCTCCCTGCAGGTATCAAACTCACACTGTCAGCTCTGTTGGATGGAAAGAATGTCAACGCCGGTGGCCACAAGCTTGGTCTAGGACTGGAATTTCAAGCATAAATGAATATTGTACAATCATTTACTTTTAAACTATTTTGCAGCATAACTACCTTCAGAATTGTAGTGTACCTTTTAATGTTGTATATCTGGGATGCAAATTTTGCTCAATATCATGTCAGACCTTCAGGTTAAAATGATTCAGCTTTAAAGTGAAACCCAGTTCCAGAAAGCTCCTTCAGCTGTAGACTTTGGGGGGAATTTGGTGGCCCCTCAAGAGGAGACAGGTTTCTTTTTTTTTTTTTTTTTTAATCTAGAAATGGCTGCAAGTGGAAGCTGATAATGTGTAGGCACTTTGTAAATTTACATTGAGTAAATGAATGAAATTGTGACTTCCTGAGAATTGAACCTTGCTTTCCTAACCCTAACTGAGGAGAAACTCATTGCTTGGTGGTGTGTACAAACTCGTCTGAAAGGGACAGATCTTCATGACCAGTTTCCACCCCAATCCATCACCTCTCTATACCAAAAGTAGTCTGCAAGGTGTGGTAACTGATTTTTGTGTGTGTGCCATTTTGGGGTGGAGAGGGTGGATGTGATGAAGCCAATAATTCAGGACCTGCATTCCTTCTGTGTGGTCTTGTGCCCTTGCACCAGAGTATGAAATAGCTTCCAAGAGCTCTAGCTGGAAGCTGGGAAGGGTCTCAGTGACTAATCACTTGGTGACAACACTCAGAATCTAAATTGGACTTGTGTTGTATTCATCACTCAATCTATTTTTTAGCCATTTAATGAGTACATTTTAGAGTCTTCCATTTTGTGTGGAATTAGATCCTCCCCTTCAAATGCTGTAATTAACATCATTTAAAATAAAACTTGAATAAAATATTGAAACCTCATTTTCTTTCTGCTGTCTTTATTAATAAAAATGTAAAAGGAAACTCAACATTTGCTTTGATTTATTCTTGGGCCCGTTGCCATGTGTGTATATTATTAAATTTCTACTGCAAAATTATCGCACACTTAGCAGCATAAAAACAAGACTCATTTATTTTACAGTTCTGGAGGTAAGAAGTCTAGGCATGTTGTAGCCAGGGTCTCTGCTTAGGTTCTCACTATGCTAATATGAGGGAATCAACCAACTGCTTTTTCTTATGTGGATCTCAGGGTCCTCTTTCAGAACTGGTTCTTTGCCGCTCTCAGATGAAGGCCCCATTTCCCTGCTGGCTTTTAGCTATGGGCTACTCTTAGCTCCTAAAGGCCTACCTGCATTCCTTGCCATGTTGTCTCGTACATCTCTAAAGTCAGTAGTGATAGCCAAGCACCATCTAGTTCTGGTCTCAGAAGAGCTGGTGGTTCATGTGGGCTGGTTGGTTAGTCCCATGGATTGGTTTCTTCTTCCAGGAACAGCTCCAACTCTTTGAAGGATTTACCCGGAAGGTTAGGCCACCAAGGATCATTTTCCTTTCTTAAAGTCAATTGTGCCATATAATCTAATCTCAGGAGTTGAATCATTGGGTGGTACAAATAATTGGTTTTGGCTGCTTACTGAAAGGTTTTCAGTTTGAGTACGCAGAGGTGCCTTGGAAGAAAGGTCTGGCAATCTTAAAAAAATACTATTGTGTTTTAGTTGAAAGTTTACACAGCAAATTAAGTTCCCCTTTAACAATTTTTATACAAATTGTTCCCTGTCATTGGTTACAATTTTTACATTGTAAAAGTTGTAACCAATGACAGGGAACAATGTGTCAGCATTCTCATTCGTTCTGTCTTACGTTTCCATTGATCTAGCTTCCCTCCTTCTCACTTTTGTTTTTGGGTAATGTTGACCATTTGGTCTCATTTAGTTAATTGTTAAGGGGGAGCACATTATTCACAGGTGATAAACTTCATAAGCCAACCTACTATTTGTAAGATGACTAGCAGAAATAGCTTCAATTACAGATTCAAAGGGTGTTTTAGGGTGACCATTTTTAGGGGCTCTCTAGTCTCTGTTGGCCCAATGGGAATGTGGTGACTGTAGGTAAACCATAAGTTCAGCAGTTCAAGCCCACCAGCTGCTCTTTAGGAGAACTATGAGGCTTTCTGCTCCCACAAAGAATTATAAATATATATGCACATTTTTAGTAATGATTGTGGAGATTTTAAAGAGTAGTATAACAAACTACATAGTTTGTCATCTAGCTTCATTTTTCCATTTAATGACATTTTAAGGCAGAATTTTTTTTTTTTTTTGGGCGGGGATGTGTATATGTGTATGTGGGCTGTTTGAAAATGACAGTTCAAAACAGATGGTAGGTTTACTTTGAGCAATTTCTGTAATTAACCAACCCAAATTTAACATACGGTTTTCACTAGGTTTGTCAACCTGCAGCTATTTCCAAGAGAATTTATCTGAACTTGGTTGAATTTGTCTTGAGATCTTGGCATGCAGTTTTGCTAGTTACGCCTAATAAAACGCTCTCTGAATATGTGGGAGTAATTCTTTCTCCAGTTACTTGCCAGGTGGTCTGCCTGTTGTATACAATATGTTGGCATATCATTGTGCAAAATTCTTCAGTGCCTTAAATTCATTAGTTGCAAGAATTCAGACAATCTGGTATGGGGACAAATGGTCAAACTGGGAGGAAGGATTGAAAGTGTTTTAATACAGAAAAAGCCCTGCTTAAGTCTGAACCAATTTCCAAACTAAAGCTAGGATTGAGAGGTTTACTGGTTAAACTGAATGTGGTTTTTCGGCACACCTCCCAACCCCGACCGTCTCCTTAGCTCCTTTTGTGAAGAAGGAAGAAAGCTCTAGAGGGATTTTTTTGGGATTACTTTATACCCTGGCAAACTTGGAAGGCTTGCAATAAAGGCACTATTCAGTCTATCTGGGCTTGTGGTGGGCTTGAGGAAATGAGCAGATGAATGATCTCTTAGTTTCTTAACAACACACAGAGTGTGTGTTTCTGAGCTGTCACTAGGGTCAGATAAATGTTATGGGGAAACCAGAGTCGGGAGTAGAACACAGCCCTTGTCTCTTCAGAGTGGCAACTCAGTTGTACCTCTGATAGCGGATAGCAGTAATTTTCTGAGGAGAGTGGTGAAGCTGTGGGTACAATAAATACTTTGCTTTATGCCATGCTGATTTTCCTGAAATTTGATCAAATTAAACTTTATGAATTGAAGCCTATAGATGTTTAGTAAGGAAACATTCACAGAACATACATACTGGGTGAAGAATTGTGCCAAAGCCCAAGTGAATTTCCTGGAAGTTTCTAAGTTTGCATATTATATACTGGCGATTTACTTTTAAATAATAAAAATAAAAAAGTAATGAAGTTTATTGCAAGGAATTTAGAAGCTGTTTCACAGTGGCAACCACTCACTCCTACTTCCTAGCCCCCTTTTCTACTTTACCCATACAGTATATAATAATTTTATAAATTCTTGTTTTGTTCATTGCCGTATCCTGAAACATAAAGAGGTGCGAAATACTTGTAATAATAAATGATTGTGGGAAATGATTAAAAAAAAAATACAACCGTATTTACCCATAATTCTATCACCCAGATATGGCCTCGTTAACATTTGTGTTTTCTTAGCTTTGGGAGGAAACAGGGCAGTAAATTTCAGTTTGTGAATTTACACAATTGGGATTTCCTTTTAAAATTGTTTAGAAACATTTATATTGGCTCTGTAGTATCTCACCATGTGGAAGGCAGAGAAGGGCTCGCTCTGGCCCTGTTCAGCACCTTATACAACCCACTCTTAAGCTGCAGCGGAGTTCGAAGAGCCCGCCATTCCGCAACCACTGCTATCCTCCCAAGTCCTTCCCTTTACTCCGGCACGCTCCGGGCGGTGACATCATTACGCTGGGACGTACACGCCCAAGGCCGCTCCGCCTTACGCGTATATAACGCCATGACGTAGAACTTAGCAACAGTGCAGGCTCCGGATCGAGTCCGTTATGGCTGCTGCAGCTCTCGAGAGGATGAGTGGGACCGCGCAAGCGAAGCTACTGCCTGGGCGGAGTATCCAGGCCCTTGGAGGGCTGGCGCGACTGCTGGTCTTGGCTGTCCTGCTTTCGTCCAGTGGTAAAGACGACGCGGGGGCTGGGCGGGCGTGAACCCGGAGAGCGTCAGGGCCGGGGGAACGGGGCTGCGATGTCCAGATGTCCAGATGGACCAGTGTCTCCCGGCCCCAGGAGGGAGAGGAAGGTGCTTGCAGGGAGCCGTGGAGGCGGGATCTCCAGGACCCTGGCTGTGGAGTGGAGCGGGGCGCAGAGTGTGTAGCTGGGCGGAGGTGGGGGAGTGGTGGCGCTGTCTAGAGGGACTTGAAGATTGGTTTGTCTCGGGGACGGTGGGTGGCCGTGTCGGGGTCTCCAAAGTTCCGAGAAGTGGGGAGGTAGAGCCTAGAACAGGGGAATCGAGGAGATTGGAGCTAGGGGTGGTGGTGTCTACAGAGAGTCCCGAGATGGGGGAGAGTCGGGGAGCTAAAGGGAACCCGGGAGAGTGGGAGTTCTCCAGAAAGCTCCAGGTCTGGGGTAAAGACCGAGGTGGGCAGGGGAAGTGGATGGACTGTGGAAGGAAAAAGAGCTTTCTTCGGGCGCTGCAAGAGCTCCGCTCTGGGAGGGTCTGGGCTTGGCTGAGCCAGAATCCTTGGGCAGTTGGCTCCTTCCTCCTTAGGGGCTTGCAGGAGAGGCGTTCCGGGACAAGGGAGATTCTTTGTAAACATGGTTGTCCTTCCTTGTGTCTTGGGTGAAAAAGGACACCCTGTGGGTTAATGCGCTGGATTGCAAAGTAGGTTTGAACTGCAAGGTCGGCGGTTCAAGCTCACCAGCCACACCTGGGAAACCCTATACAGGGTCGCTGTGGGTCAGAACCGACTTGACGTACTTAACAACAGTGCTTTTTAAGGATCCATGGGATTTGATTGAATGGGATTTCTTTTATTTTTTTACCTTGTGATTCATAAATTGAAGGCTTTATTGAGAAATAAAAAAACGTAAATCAGGACCTAAGACTTAGTGGGAACAAATACACCAATAAGAATTTATAATGACCACTCAGTATCTTGTGTTGTTATTATTAAGTGCTGTAGGTAGAGTCGGTTCCAACTCATAGCGACCCTGTATATAGGGATTCTGAGGATCAGCTGGTGGGTTTGAACCACTGACCTTGTGGTTAGCTGTCCAGTCAGTGCTTTTCCTACAGCGCCACACCAGGACTCTGAACTCCTGTGTAGTAGTTCCTTTTTTCTTTCAGGGTAAGATAGGATCCTGTGCTCCCTAATTAATATTTTGGGGTTTCAGATGAAAAACAGCATGAACTGGATAGTGTTCTCATACTTTATTTAGTAATCACGGCTCAGTCATATGTTTTACTAACTGCAATAAGGGCAGGCGAACTTTTGGGCCGCTTTCTCTGAAGTGTTTGCAAGTTTGTGGGAAGGAATGAGGTCCATTTTCCAAAGACCTTTTCATCATTTGTAAAATGTAGTTAGCATTTCCAAGGTTGATGAAAATGTTGCTGTAGCTAAAGTATTAAAATTAGCATAATTGTTTCAGTCACTTTATCATCTAAGAAAAGAATGCCATATAAGTATCCACCCTGCTTGCTGGAATGCTTAAGAAATACGATTTGAGGATATATATCTGGTAACTAGTTTTAGAAACAACTGTTTTCCCCCAAGAGATTGTTGAAAATCTTGTGACAGGACTGAGTGATGGGGGAATATGCAGCATGGTGGTGTCTTTTTGTAGCTGTATTTATTTGTTGTTGTTACATTGAGTCGGTTCCGACCCATAGGGTCTCTGAGGAGCAGCTGGTGTACTTCAACTGCAGACCTGTGGCTCAAATGGAATTTGCAGTCCAGCTCATTAATCTGCAGTGCTACAAATTAGAACCCCATGGGGGCGTTTTAGGGATGGTTGGGTGTTTATTTTTTAAATTAGGTCTTTATGTGTGCCAATTTCGGAGTCCTGGTGTGGTGCTATAGGATAAGCACTCCACCATAAGGTCGGTTTGAACCACGTGGTTGCATGGTTGGTGGTTCAACTTCATCAGCTGCACCTTGGAAACCCTATATAGGGTGGCTATGAGTCAGAATTGACTGGACGCCACTAAACAACAAGAACATATGCCAATTTTAAGTGCTATAAATTAATATTATTTCCTACTGAAATAACTTGAACGAAAAACTAACATATGTGCCTTTAATGGGGAGCAGTTCTGGTGTAGTACAGGATAGCATTTGTAAAGCTTGGGGTAATTAAGTACTTTTTGTAAATTGTCTATGGTAAATAGAGTCTTTTCAAAGTGATTTCTCTTGTAGTAAAAAAATTAAAATCTAGAGTGTGTTGAGTTCCATATCTCAAATAAACATATAAAGTTACAAAGTTACCACATCAGATTTATTTAAACTTGTTTCATGTTCCCAAAGAGCCACACCCACTGCCAGTGAGTTGATTTTCAGGGCTAAGTCTTGATGGGAGCAGACTGCCGACTAGTGGTCAGCAGTCCAGTGCTTATCCTACAGCACCACCAAGGCTTCTTTTGTTTCATGTTCAGTTTCTTTTCCGTGCTTGGATGTATTCTTTGGATGTGTAAGAATTTTAAAGTATTGTTTTTGCTTTTATAAAGTCAAAAGAAATTTAACATAAGCACTGCTTTGAATCACTTGATGACCCTCTTATTAAATCTTGCTGTGCCATTTAAAAGTAACTTTTTTTCTGTATTTATCATAACATTGCTCCTAAATGATTACCTAAATTTAATATGGAATACATTTAATTTTTAAAAAAAAATTTCTATGTTCTTTTTAACTGTGGTAGATACATAGGTAACAAAACATTCATAGTTACAGTGACAATAAATATGTTCTTCATCATGTTGTTCAACCATCCCCTTCCTGAATTTTTCCATCATCCTTACAGAAGTGCAGTGTTCCCTAAGTCTTGTGCCTTCCTTTCCTCCTTTAATGCATTGAATTTTGAAGGCAATGTTTCTTGAAAGCGTGTGAGCATGAATTCTCAGGTCCTCTGCATTCTGAAGTTGGAGCATGTTGATACAGCTTATTTTAAAGCAGTTTTTTTTCCTTTTTTTAATTTGTTGTTCAGAATATACACAGCAGAGCATACACCAATTCAACAGTTTCTACATGGAGCATTTAGTGTCGCTGATAACATTCTTCAAGTTGTGTAACCCTCCTTTTCTTAGTTGTCCCTCCCATGAACATAAAGTCACAGCCTCTTTAAGGTTCCTATCTAGTCATTTGATCTCATATGTGGTGCTGTAAGATAAGCACTGGACTGACTGCAAGGTCGGTTTGAATTGCAAGGTTAGAAGTTCAAACTCATCAGCCACTCCTTGGAAACCCTATACAGAGTTGCTATGAGTCAGAACTGACTCGATGACACTTAACAAGTTCTTTTTTTTTTTTTTTTTTTAATGTTTTGTTGTGAATTATATGATAGTTTACATGAGAGAACTTTAGTTTTACATTCATTCCATCGTATATCATTTCATTGCCATGGTTCCAATCCCCTCCAT